CACTTATCCCCACAACCCTTATATACACATATTCATACGCACATGCACACACAACTATGCTCAATAAACTATAGCAACGTTTGTCTAATTTTTCACTATTTTCACTTTACACGTTTGCAACTATTTATATGAGCACTGTTGTATGCACATTTGCTTAAATATACGTATGTACATACATATAACATACACACATATGTATTTCACAACACTTTTCACTAAAAGACACTTACCCATATGAAGGGTGGGAACCGCATCCTTCCGAAGAAGTTTGGTTCCCACCGCCTCCTTCTCAAAATGGACATCGCAGAGGTATGCATTCGTTCGGGGCAGGTCATCCAGAAGCGTGAGTCCCATGTTCTCCTTCCACTTCTTGGCCAGCTGGCGCTCCTGTGGAAATCCAAACATCTTGTGGGATGAGCTGCTGTTGACGCAGCCGCGAACGCGACATTTCCGAATAGCCGGCATTCTATTTAAGCGAGTTTTTAGAAAAACTATCTTTCGCGAGCAAAATCGATATAAGTACGTCCGACTAGCGCAAAATCTCAAAGAGATATGAATATTTTGCGCAATTATGTCCATATGTATATATATTTACATGATATATTTACATATGTATACATTTCAGCGGAAAATCTATCAAGAAACTTATTGGCTTATCGCCGTTTTTGGCGCAATTATACAAGTTCAATTGGAACATACAAAAGGAGAAATTGTGTACATATGTACATATATTTACATGATACATTCACATATGTATAGCTTTCAACGGAAATTTTATTTTTTGAAACCTATTGGCCTATTGCCTTTTTTGGCGCAATTATACCATTTCAATTGGAAACACAAAAGAAGAGAACATCGGTAAAAAAGAAAAAGTCGCTTTTTTCAACCAAAAGCCCCAATTGAAATGCCGACAGCAAATCAATGAGTTTGGCAATTGCATAATTTTCTCATATTTATTACCATATCTACGTTTTGCAATCAAAGCATATCTTCGAACAAAAGTTTTCATATAACTAAAAAATATAGGCAATTTTAACTTTTATTGTAAATAAATCAATGCTGCGAAAAAGAAAGACGTGCATTTACACATTTGTTTCATGCACCCACAATCATTCGCAACATCTTACAAACCACACGCAACATATTTAACAGAGAACATACACAAAAAATGTTAAAAACGTCTGTGGACATGTTAAAAGCGTGTGTTGAAATTCCATAGTGGATCCATTTCAGACGACAATTTATCTCTCCAAAAAATATGTACCTTCTCGTTCTTGTATGTTCTCTGGTTCATCCAACTTGACGTTTCTCTTTGTGGAACATTCTACGTCATTC